CCTCAACAAATTTTGGATACTTATTTTTTGTATGAAATTTGATTCAACAATCAAGGTCTGCAGGCACCCTTGACCTACTTTTGACATTTTCGTGCAACTACTTTCTGTTACAATTTTTTTTCTGCTTTTCTTTTCATCTAGCTATGTATTTTTTATTGTAGCATATAGCTTCTCTGGGTATGACACAAGGCATCACTTTGAATACAGGAAGAGTCCAGAGAATTCACAGTGAAGTTTGAAGGTCAGGGCAACCTGAATTCAGTTAGGAGATTCAGTTAGAGCTGCACAATAATACTGTGTCATCACTGTCCCAAGCCAAACTCCTGCTGGTTGCTATCACGTGTCACTATCAGTGACTCAGCTGAGTACTCGCACATCTTCAGAGCACTAACATGGAGAGGAGAAATCACGAGGAAAGTCCATGGTTAACAGTTAGCAGTGAAATCTGAGCACCCACTGAAGCTCTTAAGTGTTACAAAATGATAATGTAACCTCAATTCCAAAGATTTATTAAGAAGCCAAGAGTGAGTCTTCACAAAACTGGAGCACAAACTGTCACAAGTCAGGGTGCTGACCTATACCTTTGCATGCAGCTGTTACTGTACAAAAGAGAATCACACCTAAATCAGCTTCCTCTTCGGTTTTACAGCACCCTTGGGTAAATTTTGTCAATCCAGGACTGGGACAGGCTCCAGACAGATATGTAAAGGGGATGCTTCAGTAGATGGCACTCTGCCTCTGAGTGAGGATGAGTAAATACCTCAACCAAGGGATTTGATGCAGGGAAAGCAACTTCATTTATACTCTACTGAAATTATATTGCAAAGCTTTACCTAACTGTGTCATGAAGCAACCTCTGGCAATTTTTCACAAAACTAGATCTATCAAGTCCTGGCATCTGGTTTCCTCTCTGTTTAGAAGACTACAGTCTGTTTCTCCTGAAATCTTGATTTATATATATATATATATACACTTAGTTTTCACAAAAGGTCTTAGTGGGTATGTAGTAACATCAGAATCTGGCTTTAGAGCTGTTCTGCTTTCTCAGCCATTTTTCTTGATTCGTTATTTTATTTTACTATTTTTCTATTTTGTCTACAGTTCAAGAGCTTAATGCTTTTGGTTTATGTGTTGTTTCCTGTTATCTTGAAGCCACAACATTTCAGAGATCTGATTAAAGAAAAGTTACACTGAATTAGTGCAAGTGAGGAGATCTTAGCCTCAAATACAGGCTTGGGAGATCTATAATCTTTTAAACCAAATCTGCCACTAACCACGCAGCAGTAATACAAAGCCTGGTCTTACAGCTTTCTGAATTGTACAGCATTTTCTTCAGCCCTGAACAGAAGGGTAAGAAAAAAGAATGAACTAAGAATTACATGAGGCAAATTAAGTTTGTTCAGTACTCACAATTTTGTATTCTTGATTAATAGTGTACATTCATTCAGTTCACTGTTTATTAAGCAGCCTTTTAACTATTATCTATCTATGATCTATTTCTTTGCTGACGACACCATGCTGAGTGGTGCGGTTGATACGGTGGAAGGAAGGGATGCCATTCAGAGGGACCTCGACAGGCTGGAGGGCTGGGCTCGGGTGAACCTAATGAGGTTCAACACGGCAAAGTGCAAGGTTTTGCATTTGGGCCGGAAGAACCCCAGGCACCCGTACAGGCTGGGAGGAGTGGTCCTTGAGAGCAGCTCGGCAGAGAAGGACCTGGGGGTCCTGATGGACGAGAGACTGAACATGAGCCAGCAGTGCGCTCTGGCAGCTCGAAAGGCAAATGGGATCCTGGGCTCCATCAGGAGAGGGGTGGTCAGCAGGGACAGGGAGGTGATCGTCCCTCTCTACTCGGCTCTTGTGAGGCCCCATCTGGAGTACTGTGTCCAGGTATGGAGCCCTCAGTACAAGAAAGACATAGAGATTTTGGAAAGGGTCCAGAGGAGGGCGACTAAGATGATCAGGGGGCTGGAGCACCTCCCCTATGAGGACAGGCTGAGGGAGTTGGGCTTGTTCAGCCTGGAGAAGAGAAGGCTGCGGGGTGACCTCATTGCAGCCTATCAATACCTGAAGGGAACCTACACCCACGAGGGGAGTAAACTCTTCAAAAGGGCTGACAACAGCAGGACTAGGGGAAATGGATCGAAGTTGAAGGAGGGAAGATTTAGGTTGGATGTTAGGGGGAAGTTCTTTACAAGGAGAGTGGTTAGGCCCTGGAACGGGCTGCCCAGGGAGGTTGTAGATGCCCCGTCCTTGGATGTGTTTAAGGCCAGGTTGGACGGGGTCCTGGGCAACCTGATCTGAATGTGTGTGTTTGGTGGCCCTGCTAGGCAGGGGGGTTGGAACTACATGATCCTTGAGGTCCCTTCCAACCCGGGTGATTCTGTGATTCTGTGTGATTCTGTGATTCTTTCTAGTATCTATTTTCATACTTGACTAGCACACTTTTCTCCACCCCTGCCTCTCTCCTATGCTCCTTCAAAATCCTCTTTTCACAGATGATAGTTTAAAATCACAGTGAACTTGTAATGTTATTTCTAAAATCTGGAGCTTAGACTATCCTGTTCTTCCTTTAAGAGGAAAGCATTTGCTGCGGTAGCTCAAATAAAATTGTCGGTCCCTATTTTTTCCAGTATTCATGTCAGTCCAAGTCTGAGGGTTGTGTAGGTCTGTTAAAATGAAGACAAGCTAGGAAGAGTTTTTGCATGTGTTCCTCCAAGTGACAATCATTTTTGAGCTATTGAAAACATACCATTAGAAACTAGAGAAAGGAATTACCAGAAGTGGTTCATGCAGTGGAGTTCTGTGTGAGTGAAATGGTGCATAATTATTGTTGAATAAATGTGTTTTTAGGTTTTATCTTTTTTAATTCAAAACCCTGTCGGCTGCATAAGGGACTGTGTCCAAAAGCAATATTCTGTCCTCTACAAAGTAGCTACACATCAGGTAAATTCTTGTACCACTGGAAGCTCTCTGTTGAAAATGCCGTTAGTTACAGCATTTATGTATCATTTGGCAATCAGATTAAAACTTCAAAATGTATTTTATACAGAATTCCAAATAGTCTTTGAACAGTAAGGCTAGGAAAAACCTCTCTCGCACACAACTGTATAGAGGTGAGATTCAGAGAGTTTTTTTACATTTTATAAAGGGAGTTGATTTTTTTTCCTTTGGAAGAAGAATCAGGAGGTAGGGTGTGGAGCTTCTGCTGTTTGGAATACCTTCTTTATAGGAATAAAGGTTTAAGTAAAATGGTTTAACACTGTTATGATGCTGCTGTTTTTACTTCTGCAGCCTTGAGCTGATATTTGTTCAGTCAGATAAAGAATCACATCTAGGTCATGAAACTTTAGGTTTATGATTGCAACCTAAGCATTACTACAGCTACATTAATTTTGAAGGAGGCTTGAAGCCCACAAACTAGCCTTCTAATCTTGTCTTCAAGTAGTGGTTTCAAATCAAAGACAAACAATTTCCTAACTGAATCATCAGATTAAGTATTGAGATGCCTGAGTTCTATGCCTTTAGGAAAATTACAGCTTAATCTTCAGGTCTGCTGAGTTCATTTAATTCCCATTAATTTCACATGGTCTTACAAGATCTCAGCACCTCTGAAACTTGCTTTTAAATCTTTATGTGAATGTCTTCCTTACAGATAAACTGGAAAGCTGTTTAATGTGTGTAATATAATTTGAAATGCTTATTAAATACATGTTACAGAAGTACAGTGATTGCTAGCAAGTGTCTTGTTGAAACAGTCCTGCTTTTTTCTTATCTGAGTGTGGTACAGTTCAAATTACCTTAAAATATTTCCTTACAATTAAGCCACACTGTTCTGTAGACAATAGAGAACAGGAGACTGAAGGACCATGTGATGGGTCTGCCACCTCACTGTTTTTAGGGTGGAAGCTGGAGGGTGGATGATCGTAAGCAAAACCTGAAGAGCAAGTGGTGGCAGAAACCAAAGCTTAAAATCACGAGGTTCCCCATGTTTAGAAGGTTCCTACTGAATATGTCCAGAAGACATGCTGCGAAAACTGGCATGTTAACCTAGTTTTTGATAGCATTGAGAAGCAGATCAGAGAGTAGGACTCAGTGGGCTTGCAAAGCTGGTTGAGGAAATAGCTGGAAGAATCCAAGACTCAACTGCACATGCAGGAGAGGTCTCACAACTTCTGGGTGTATCTGTGCAGCGTAGTATTTTAGTTTAAGAAAACTACATCACATTTAACTAAGTAAGTAAATAAGGAAAGAAACAGTAGCACCAGACAGACCACTGAGATTTGGGTGGGCCTGCTCGCCGATGTTTGAAGATAGGGAAAAAACAAGGGGTTGGATTTTCAACCATGATTTATTTAGAAATTTAAGATCCATTGAAGGCCAGTGAGACTAAAACTTAGCACTTAGTGTACCAAATGCAATGGTTAGAGTAAGTTTATAGAAGTTAATAAAAGTCATCAACTCTCGTCAAACTAATACATGCTGGTTTTGTAATGAAGGTGATCTTGTATCAAATGAGGTTTTACTCAAAACCTGAAGAATGTTACAATTATCACTTAATGCTAAATTAATTAGAGCAGAGTCATTTATAAGACTGTTCAGTCAAGGGTGGGCACACGTTCCATCCTGGTGAAGTATGCAAAATGATGGGGTGGAAAGAGAACAGCTTTTTTTCCCTTAACGACCCCTTTCTGCCTGAAAACTTGCAGATGTCTTTTACAGTCAAGACATCAACACCCCATAATTAACTTTCCCTGCTCACTTGGCCACTGATTTTTTTTTATTCCAGTTTTCCATTCTTGCTGATTTGCAGAGTCTCACTTGGCTGAGTTATGAGCTGCTTGCCCAACAGGGTTTTTGTTCTGGTCTACCAAAAACTGGAAAAACCTGTTAGTGTACAAGCTTTTTTTTTTTTTTTTTTCCCAGTCTTCCTCTCCCATTGGCAGTTACAGCCTGTACACGTGCACACAAGGTGGTGCTTACCTTTCATGGAAAACCGCCTTACAAAAACTGAAGTTGTTTTTTCCATCACCTCATTGCTTTTCTAGCTTCATGAAGGCTTTTGTGGATACTCCAGGAGTTAAACTCTGTTCTCCATGGAACGGGTTTAGGTCATCATCTTATTTTTCTTCAAGAAAAGGGAGGGTGTCTGTGCATGGCTCAGGTCCAGCCTTTTCAGTAATATTTGATAGACTGGGAGATCCACAGAAATCAGCTTTGTTGTGTAATGTAGCTTTTTGGGTGCAGATGCTTGACTCCTTCACAGCAGCTGCACAGCGTGTCATGCTGACATCTGTAACACTGGACAAACACCAAAGTGGCAAGTAAGTGCAAAACGTCAACAAGTTGGGGAAAAACTTTTTTTTTTCCCCATCTCTTTCGTTTTCCTCTTTTTTGTTGTTGTTTTTTTTTTTTTGCTGCTGTTGGAGCAAGAATGGGTCAGCTGTGTGGACGGTGCATGCAGCTGCTGCGCAGCTTCGTGGCCTTCGTTCAGAAGATGTCTTCGGAGCTGGTGCACAGCGTGAAGGAATGCTTAGCTCTGATAAGCGAGTGCTCCTGCTTGAAACAGAATGCCTCAAAGACCAGACAGCTGTACAAGCCCATGCTGCAGCCTCATGAGCGGGTGACAGCACAGGAATTTCTGCAGCAAATTGAAAGAGGTAAGTGCATTACGTTTTCAAAAGGATTGTGAAAGGGGAAGGAGAATCTTTTTGGGGGGCTGAAAACAGATTCCCGTCTGAACTACTCTGACATTTTATATTGGTGTAGGAAAGGACAGAACCACAGAGCATTTTCTTTGTGTATGGGACATCAAGAGCACGAGTGGCACAAAAGTAGGATTCAGGTAGAAGTGGTCTGTCCCTTTCTGCTGTACCACCACTGTTAAACATGACCCGTGTACATATGTTTAGTGAAAGCAAGTCCTTCTAGTAATTGAAGTTAACTTTTTGAGTCAGTCCCTGAAGCAACAAAGCTGGAAAGAGGACTGTGTTAACATTGGGCACTATAGGAGCCTGTTAGCAGGAAACAGCAGCATGGTCCTGGCTGAGTTGTTCATGTACATCTATGGTCTGGTGCAGAGCACCTGGAGCTGCACTGAAGTGCCTGTGCTGTATGTGGGAAGGCTGAGGACACCCTGGGACAAGTGCCATTGGGCTCAGAGGACTTCCCCAAACTCCAATAAGCTGATCTGACAATATGCACTTTTGTGTACATGTTTAAGGCACAGAGCTTGAACACAATCATAGGATTCAGCTTGAATCAAAGCAGACCCGTAAGTCTATGTTCATCTGTCTTGGGTGTTCTCTCAATCCTGTCTTAAGACACAACATATTAGGAGGAAAACTTTTTTTTTTTCAATTTAATTCCTACTGTCACAGAATGTTTTCTTGGATGAGTGTGTTTTGTCAGTTGTCCAACCTGAAAGCATTCTTGTCTCAATCTTGAAGAGGGGGCAGTTGCCTGTTGGTTTTTTGCTTTGACTTGCAGCTAATTGCATGTATTGTGTTAAGTTTAACAACCTTGGGCTGAAGGTAGTAGACAAAATTGCATATCCTTCTGCTTTCATGAACCGAGAGAGACATTTATTCTTGATGTAACACAGATAAAGTTGTTTGAAATGATCTGTCATAGAACAACTTTTGGAATGATTGTTGTGATGCTGACCTACATCCTTGAACTACACAAGGATTAACCTCAGCTGATATCCTTATTCGTTAACAGAGGGATCTCATGCTGTTAATATGTTTAATTAACTGCTGCATATGAAGCACTGGCAAAATCCCAACGTCCTAATATGTATATCCAAAATGGGACTTTACTTTTCAGTTTTGTTTGCAGTGAGAATCTTCCAAAGCTGAACAAAAAGCTAACATGCATTTATGAGTGTTTTGACAGTAATCCTGCTCAACTAAGAGATCAGGTGCAAGTAAAGAGTGGTCTGGAAAAAATGATGATAACATTATGGCCCCTTATGGCACCCACTAGTGCTTCTGAAAAGAATAAATGTATGTTTTCTTGAGAAATCCTTTCCTTTCTGAGATGGGTCTGCAAAGGTCCAGTTTGTCCTGACTTCTGAGGAGCTGGGATAGAGCAGCAGAGAGCCTTGAGCTTCTGTGGCAGCAGTGCAGAGTTGGCCACACATGCTCTTAGGAAGATCCCAATGTCTATGATAGGAGATACACAGTGCACAGGAAGAAGGACCAAGATTAGTTCTCTGAGTGGCTGAAGTCTGCTGCCAAGACAGGAGCAGAGTTTGGGAGCCTCAGAAAAAGAACTAGGACACGTACATCTTACTTTAGTACTCACCTGTGTATTTTATTCCAAGATGATATGAGCAAGCCCATCCTCAAATTTGAACAAATTATAATAAGCAGAAAGCCAACATTTGGATAGCTGAGTGCAAGGAAAGACTTTGTGATAGGTCATATTCATTTGTTAGCTACTTCAGCAAATGTTTGATAAGCAGGTGAAGATTTTGTGTGGCTTTTTCTTTACCATTCTCCCAAATAAATATGCAGAGATATCTGAGGGATTCGAGTAGTCACTGTGTAAGGAAGGGAACTAAAGTACATGAAGAGATCCTTGTTTTTTTTCTCAAGGTTTCTTGCACACGCTGATGGCTTCCCTTTGTGTTTATTGCTAACTATTAAATAAAACCAATCATTATATGAAGCAGTTGTTCTGTGGAACACACTTATCTAACCTTGAAGGTAAGCATTTGCTAATTCTTGATATGTCAGCAGCTTCTAATAGCTTAAGTTGTTGGCTGAGTTTCACACTGAGTCATGAAAGCTCTCAACCTTCACATCCCTCACATCCCTGATATCCCATGTGAAGAAAAGTAGCTAAATCTTGTTCTTCACAGAGATATTTCAGTCTTTAATGCACTTCCTAAATCGTATCTAAAGATGGATCATGTACTTGTGTGCTCTACCAGTCAATATTTAGTATATTACCTTTTCAACTGTTGATGCTGTTGAGCTCTGGATCAATGGCCGTTTTTTTTTCCTCTTTGCTGTTCCATTCCGTGCACTGTAAGCACATAAGGCAGTAACTTACAGAAATCATGGATGACTGCTATTGCTGTACTCTCAATGGCTATTGCTGAACATTTGGTTTATTCATAGAGGAACTATCATACTCGAGAACAGGTAGACACATGCTAGGAATTTGAGCCTGAGGCAAGCCCATTTGCAATCCACACTGATATTTCCTGAAATCCATTATTATAATACAAAGAATAGAAAACACAGCAAAAATAAGAAGTGGTAAATTAAAAATATGTTCTTGTTCTGTAGCTTATAGCTAAGAATGCTATTTTCAGTCGATACATTTTAACAAAAACCTTCTGTGATTCAGGAAGCAGTAGGAGTTTTATGGAGAAGAACAACACCTGCATTTATACTGGATAACATAAAAGTGTCTAAAGGTTATAATTTATCTTGCATCCAATCACTAGCTTCAAGAACTTCATTAGAGGCACTGCCAAGGACAGGTTATTCTGGGTTTGTTTATTGCTGCTGCTCCTGGAAATATGAAAAGTATACATGGGCTCTATGGAGCACATTCAGTACAAAAATCCTTGTACTTGTTCGATTGGCTGTAAACTTTAATTTCTTTTTGTAAACTATACTTTTTCGAGTGTAATTAAGACTGTGCTGTAACTGTATATCTTTAGGTTTTGAGATGTCACCACTGGGAAAGGACCCTCTGGAAGCCTTGAGGATCTTAGCTTTTTCTGAAAACCCAGGTCTACAGCAGTCTGCTGCTCTCTATTATTTGCATATGAGCCAGCACAGTAAGTTATCTCAATGCCTTAGAAAATTTCCACGTAATTATAAATAAAATCGTATTTTCCAACTGTGAAGCCTGCTTTGATTCATTAATCAAATTTGTTAATCAAAGCTCTATTTTTTTTCCTGCTGCATTTTTTACCAGGAAAAATGGAAATGCTGTCATTGCCATATGGGCAGAATCATTCTGGGTTTTGCTATCAGGAGATTATCTCTCGTGATTATAAAAACTGTTGTTTCTGTTGAAAACAAATCAGCAGACTCTGAAGTATCTAGAGTCAGTGTATTCTGAATCTCCTGAGAGCAACACACAGAGAATCTGGTGGCAGGAAGTGGTCATAGTGATCTTTTAAGGTTTTGCAGTGTATGAGTTTTTGGCAGAGGACAAAGCCCTAAAAGCTAGGCTGTAGTGGAGACACAAAGGAAACATTATGGTTTGTACCCACCACTCTGTGGGAGCCACTACTTGGCTCTTGAGGCAATTTGTGAACAGCTAGAAGTCAGCCTTGATATACCAAATAAGATTTCAACAAGAGTTTGGGTCCTACATAAGGGCAGAAATACCAGCAACAAGCAAGCTGTGGTTTATTTATTTGCTTTTTAGAATTGTACCTCAAGCTTTATCCTATGTATTTTTTTCTGGCTAAAAAAGTGCAGAATACTCAACATGAGGACCTGCTATGAGGTGGAATGACTTGTTTGGTAGCTAGGCATGTTGGTTTCCTTCCCATATTTTTGGAGTACTTGATTATTCAAAACCTTCTCAGGAAACTTGGCCTGTTTTGCCTGTAGCAATGTAATTTAAATGATGGAGAATACCATTCAACCCAGTTACAATAACAACTCGGGCCCAAGACCGAAAAGTGAAAAATGAGAGCAGTGTGAATGATGAGACTCCTGAGCATTTCCTTTTATTCCTGCAGTGAATGTTCCCCTGCCAGCAGAGCATCTAGAGCCCTTCTATGCCTTACTGCGCTCTGCTGACCTGGAGGTGCAACAGATGTCTTCTTTGTCCCTTGTCAACTTTTTGCTGGAAGGAAATAGTGAGTAATTAATAATGCATTTTCTATTCTAGTGCATCTCTTATGCAGGACGCAGTACAGAAGGAAGGCACTTCTCCATAGTGAGGTTTACATAGATCCAAATTCCCTTTTTTTGTCTTCTAGATAGGACAGATGTGAGTTCGCTTACAAGACACATAGATGCTGGGTATGTTAGGTCCCTTGAGCAATGCTATATCATGTGGCAAGTAATCTTGGATCTGTTTGCAAAGACTGTTATTTTTCTCAGGCTGGTGTAGGAATATCTGTACTACTTTCATAGAATCATAGAATCATAGAATGACAAGGTTGGAAACGACCTATAAGATCATCTAGTCCAACCGTGTCTTCATCACCATTGCCACCACAAGCACTAAACCACATCACGCAGCACGTCATCCAGACGCCTCTTGAACACTGCCAGGAATGGCGACTCCACCACCTCTCTCGGCAGACCATTCCAGTGCCTGACCTGTCTGAGAGAAGAAATTCCTCCTTATGTCCAATCTAAACCTCCTCTGATGCAACTTGCGGCCATTACCCCGTATCCTGCTCATTGTCTGGGAGAAGAGGCCAAATCCCTCTTCCCCACAACCTCCCTTCAGGAAGTTGCAGAGTGCAATGAGGTCTCCCCTGAGCCTCCTCTTCTCCAGACTGAACAATCCCAGCTCCCTCAGCCGCTCCTCGTAAGACTTGTGCTCCAGACCCCTCACCAGTTTGGTTGCCCTTCTCTGGACACGCTCCAGGGCCTCAACATTTTTCCTGTAGTGGGGAGCCCAAAACTGAACACAGTACTCGAGGTGCGGCCTCACCAGTGCTGAGTACAGAGGGATGATCACCTCCCTGCTCCTGCTGGCCACACTATTTCTAATGCAGGCCAGGATGCCATTGGCCCTCTTGGCCACCTTTTTCTTGGATTGAGGGCTCAGAAACAAATGCTTAAGAGATTACATTCATTTTCCTTTTACTAATTAACTGAAACTCATTCTTAAATTGCTCACAGTTTGGAAAAAAATGCTTAGATCTTTAGTATAATTGTCTTATAACTGTCTTATAACTATACTTATAAGACATAACTGTCTTATGTAGCTTCTGGGACCCATTTAATTGAGTTACTATCTGGGAGCTACAGAGGGCATGTTAAAAATATATTTATAAAGGTAGACTTCAGAACACAGAGAGCAGGTGAGCAAATTATGAACCTATTGGAAAACTGCAGTTGCAGTATCCAAAATGAACTGTATGTTTGAAAATAGAATTGCTGGTGGAAATATTTGGGAGCATTTGAACATCTCTTACATTCTTTCTTGAGTCTGACAATGAATCAAGCAAACCAAGTAAGAAATTGTAAGTGCCTTTCAGTCTGTTTCTATATTAGGTCTATTTTGCAAATAGACCGCAAAGGAAGGACATATTCTTCTAATGAAGGCTTTAACTATTTACTTTCTTGTTTGTCCATTTGTTTGTGAATCTATGAATAGTTGACAAAGAAATGGTTATCCAAATGGGTTTACTTGAGCCAATTCTGGATCTGCTTGAGTCAGAGGATCCCACTGTCCAGTGTAATTCCTGTGCCTGCACAATGACTTTAGCTGTTTCAGGTGAGTGTGCTGTTCTTCCCCTTTATCCTCTGCACTGAATCCATTCACCTTTTATGTCATATTTCCATATGATACCACTTTCTTGCAACTGGATTAAGAGTCAACAGATGCCACATTGGTATCTTTTCAGTATTCTTATTTCACAAATTCTTGAGATTCTGGTTAAGATCTTCTCAGTGCTTCTGGCCTTTTTTGTCTTACAATTACAAACCCTTTTTAGATTTCCAACCTAAATATATTAATGACTACCATATCCTAATTAGTGTCTATGCTGGTTTTTAACTTCGATATTTCTCCCTCCTTGATGTCTATACCAATGAAGATCTTTCATTTTATTAGAACGAGAAAGCCAAGTTCATTTAAGACTCCTTTTGTAAATTAGACTCTCCATTTATCTCCATAGCCCTTTTGGGTGTAAAGCGTATTTTCCAGAAATGGAACATAGCTATTTTGCAGTACCACAGACCTCAAGCATTGTTACAGTCAGAAGACATAAATAAGTGCTGCAGGAGTTTAATTTTGAATTTATCCCTTCTGAAAGACAGTGACAAGAAACACGCAATGCTTCAGCTGGGATCTCATCCATGTCTTCTACTGTGACATTCAGGAATATACTTGTCTGATACATCTGATGATAACATTTATGTCTTTTGCATTATGGTGTTGTTGTCATCCTGCAACTGATTTACCATTTAGACTTTATCCTTCTCTGCCGCTATTTTGTGTCATCACCAGTTTGTTGAGGGTCTGCAACAAAGCTCAACCACTGTTACCAAAAGTCATCGTGTTAGTCTAGCTTATTATGCCTTTCTCAAACTGCATTGTTCTTGTGTAAAGAATATGTAAAGGTCTGCTTAAAGCTTATAAATAATGCTTATTTCCCTTCCTCTCTTGTTTTTCTACCAAGTTCCCCTCAGCATGGGAAGCTGCCACCTGATCTCCCAAGAGGTTGTGAGAGATATTGTAGATGCTTAAACTTCCTCACTTAGGTACTTATGTTGTGAAGGGAGAGCGGATAAGCAGGATCCAACCATGTGAAAGTGCTAATTTGCTTTTTTTATTTCAAATTTGAGATTCCTGGGCATAGGAGGGCTTTTGTTACAGTTATATGTATAGTTAGTGGAGTTTTTCTTCTGAAGATCTATAGAGGCAGTTCCCTCCAGCTGTTTTAAGTAGTGCACAGAAAAGGGATGTCCTCTGGAACCTAAAGGTGTTAATTAGTATTGAGGGCACTCTGTCCCTCCTTGATGTCTCTGCTTAATCCAGGTTGCAGGGAACCCTCAGCCACTCCAGTTGCATTCTCTACTGAGGATGGTAACCCAACACCACTGCACACTCTGTAAGTACCAGTATACTTTTGAGCACAAGTAGACCACATTAAGCACTCAAGGAACTTGTAGCCTACATAAGAAAGCATATGCTGAACATAATGGTAGACAGTCCTGCAAATGCATAGGCTGGGTTGCTGCCTGGGACTTAGATCAGTTTTGAACATGTGTCTCAATTTGACTAGGATTTAAATGGACTGGATCCATTTATTTCTTCCTCAGAATATGTTTTGCTGCCACAGCAGTGAGACTAAAGCAAGAAGCAATTTGCTAGAGTTTATTTTAATTCTAACTCACATGCTCTGATATCTTAAAAGATCTGCTTGAGAAAACAATGTTGCTCAGTCATGACTTCAAGTATGCCATACATATTTGAGAATATTTTTTAAAAAATAAACATAGAAGCAGAACAAAACTGGAAAGATCCTTTAGATAGTTTTGAGGTGACTAAAACTTTAAATCCAAGAATGGCAACGTGTCTTAACTCTGCTGCAATACACATCCGTGGCTGTACAGGGTGAAGTTGTTTAGTAATGTGAGTGCAAGTTATACATGAATCTGGGATATGCAGTACTTACTGGCTGCCAGAAATAGCCAAAAACTAAACAACAAACAAGCTCATTTAGATTAAAAGGATTTCAAGGTCAGTTGGTTCCGACACTGGCATTGGATAACAGCAAGAGGACATGCGTACATCTGCAATTATCTGTCTCAATCTGTGAGTGGAAACAATCAGTTCTGGGATAAGAACTCTCCTCAGAGTAGATAAGAACAGAACTAAATGTTCACAGCAATAGTTTGGGGAGGCCATAAAGCTAAACAAAAAACAGTGCACATTCAAAGCTGTGCCATCAGGAGAATTTTAAAGCACACAAACAGCAGAAAGTGAAAGGAAAGAATTTATAAATGTGGGTTTCCAGATGGATTATTCAAACCCAGTTTGAGTAGATGTTAGTAATTCAGCTACTTTAGATTAGTATGTGGATACTCAAAAGGATGGTTCCCTTCTAAAAGCACTCTTGGGGAAATTGACTGCTGCACTGGCATCAGTGGAAGAGCCACATTATGTAGATTTTCTCCTCTGGAGATACTCTTCTCTGGAGATATTCAAGACCCACCTGGACACCTGCTTGTGCTGCCTGCTGTAGAGAGCCTGCTTTGCAGGGGGGTTGGACTCAATGATCCCAAGAGGTCCCTCCCAACACCTACAATTCTGGGATTCTGTGTGATCCTGTGATAAGCAGATGGGCTGTGGAGATGATAATAAAATTAGACACCATGGTGAGGTAGATATTTTCACCCATTCTGCCATAAGTTGATGAAACAGACAGTGTTCAGTGTTCACATTATCTGACTAAAACTAGAATGACAATGGAGGGAGGGATGAGGGAAAATGATTTATGCAAAAACAAAACCAGCAAATCCACAATAACAGGCTCTAAGAAAGATGGTGAAGCTGAATTTCTCAGCTAGTGAATCACCAAAAGAAAAGGGAAAAAAGAGTTTTATGGTCATAGAGGTTTCTACTCTCCCACAGTGAGAGTGGGTGCTCCAGTCACTCCCAGGTGAGAGCAGGGTGCCAAGCCTATGTGCCACCACCTCCACCAACACAGGCTGCATGAGCCCTCCCACCACTGCAGGCTTCCAGTATCGATCACCACTGTCATGGAGCTTTCATTTTCAAATCAAACTGTTGTTTTTTTCTTCTTAAAGGAAGAATGACCTTTGAGGCACACAGTGGCTCAATTTTGTCATGGTCATCTGCTTCCTTCAGAAGATCTTTGGACTGGAAATGTGTCCCAGAGAGGCTCTTTCACATGAGAACGTAGGCTCTCCTTACCCTATCCTAGAAAGGAAGGTGAAAGAAAAAAAATGCCCAAATTTTGTCCAGACATTTGTAATGCCCTTGCCAAAATGCGAGCTTTTCTTCCTCACTCATAATTAATGGAGTGTATTGTGTGAAAGAATGAGGAAGGATCAATATCTGGATGCTCAATCCTTTTGTCTCTCCTCTTCATCCAGTTTATTAGAGTTTACATCACATCAGACTGGTTTGCATCAGATGGAGCTGCACTAAATAATTTCTGCTTCCACTGTGGGAAACAAAAGAACAGTACACATTATGGATTATACTGGAGAAAGACTTATTTACAAAATCGACCTGAAAATTTCACCTGAGTAAATGCTTCCCACGTGACACAGATATTTTTAAATAGGTGGCTTTTCCCAGAGCAATTATTTCACTCAAAAATGAGAGTATTTTTTCCATTACAAAAGGTCTTTCTTTGAGTATAAACATATATATATGAAGGCAAAAAAGGACTTAATCTGGAATACTAAACTGATCCCAGCTGAACTGTGCTTGAATAGATATCCTTGACTATCTGCATGTGTGTGCATCAGTTCCTTAGTGTAGAACAGCTCCAGGAATAGATGTTTTGTTCTCATAAATCTCTAAGTTTGTTGGCACCTGAGGGTATGATCTGATCCAAATACTTACACATTTCTTGCTTGCTTGTGTTTCATGTTTCTCTTACTAGGGTTCCAGAGACTGGCCATTGTTTAAACAGTCTAGAAATGTACATAAATGAATCAGTACTCCAAAAAAAGTCAGTCCTTCCAGCTGTCCTGCTCCTGACTCTAGATAAAAGGATACATTGCGGCACTGTCATTTTTTTCCCCAGAATCCAACCGAGAGGCTATCGCTGCTGCTCGAGGAGTTACACCTTTACTGTCTCTTGCCAACTCCTATGATCCTAGAGTACAACAAAATGCAGTTGGTGCTATTCTCAACCTTACGCAATCAGGTACTTTCTGACTAATGGTTTAGCTAACACTCCTGAAAGAAAATTCCTCAGCAGTAGAAAGACACAAATTGAAAGGATTAAGATAAGAACAAAAGCTTATCTGCACAATAAGTTATTCTATACAATGTTTGCATATTGTATTCATGATGATACCATAGCCTGATAATTTCCGTTGGCCTCTCCTTAGCTAGTGCAGAGCCATTTTTACCTAAACCCAAAATAGGAAGGCTTGACTTTTGAACTCAAAGAATTCAATGCAATTCAAAACAAGCAATTACAATATTAAAGAAACAGAAATAATGATTATTTATTTAAGAAATATTTTGGTCTAAAAAACTATCAGCACATTTGGTAGTACTTTGTAGCAATCCAACAAGGATTATCCAAATTTGTCCTGCACGGTCAAGCTGTGGTATTGTTTAACTTGTATCTCTAACTCAAATGTTGGATGATTCAAAATACGCATGACACTTTTATCCCACACAGCTAGATGACATGCTCCTAAGGAATATCTTATTTTTATACAGTGAGGAGAATGACTGGCAATAACTTTTACAACTATTACACTTCTGCTTTTATTGTTTGTTTTACATGGAAATCTGTGTGCTGAATATCATGCTTGGTTTTTCATATTCTCCACCAGATCAGATTCTCTCAATAGGCTTTAGCAGAAAACCAGTGCAGGCTTAACCAACCAGTCCAGGTCATTTTGCTAAAATGACTGCACACTACTGTCTTAAGCCAACTCTAAATGGTGTGCTCTGATGTTTGGATAAGCATAATCACTCTATTGTGCATATCCTTGTTAAATAATGCCTCCAGATGAGAGAGAGGGAAGGGAAAGGACACACTAACAGAACTTTGTTTTCTTAAATGGCAGAGAGGATCCAACTGGTCTTGTGCAAGGAAGGAGCCCTGCCAGTTCTCACCTTGCTGTTGGAGTCCCCTGACTCAGAAGTGCAGGTATGGCACAGGTCAGATTTTCTAACAAGGATAGTGTGACTGTAGGGAGAGCACAAACTACAGAACTGGGAAATGCAAAGGTAGAGGGAGGGGAAAGCTCTGCAGAGAAGCAGAGTGACATGTGAGTGCATGTTGGAGGAACTCAGCTCAGTCAGACAACATCTATTCAAAGCACGTGATTTGTTTAGCTCCACAGAGGGTTTATAAAGCCAGCACATATAGTAATACATGCACACAGTTTTTAAACAGCTACCTTTCTGTGTCTTTTGGACCATCAGATCAGCTGTTGATAGGCCTGCTCATCCTTGCCTTCTTTGATCTTCCCCTCTAAACAATTCTGCTAAGTATTTTAGAAGGAAAAACTTGCAAAGAAATTTTTTCTCATTATTTGGGATGTCTGGGAACTCTTTCTGTTTTATGCTTACCCCAGACATCTTGCATTTGTGCACAGTTAACAGAGTTGCTTCTTGGTTTCAAGTATGCTAATGAAAACTATGAGTCAGATTTGTAAACTTTAAAGTCCACTTGTTCATTCAGTTTGTCTGAGAAGCACAGGATTACTTCCTCCAGTCTTCTCCTTGGCTCAGTTGTAAATGTCAGAAGTAATGGATCCTCTGGAACTGCTTTCTGCAAACTGTATCAGCATCACCTAGTTCTCCTGACATTCATCTTAAAATTTCTTTCTCTGCAGTTCAACCTGCTCCTTCTAATTATACCTCCCAAGTAGCACATGTTTTAATTTGTATAATCTTCTCTGGAATTCATGTTTAAATCTTTGGAAAATGATCTCTTGGCATGCTAGGGCAGTGACAACATCCGTTTCCAGTCAACCAGTGTAAATATACAGTGCAGTCCACGTAGATGAGCTAAGGTAGGTGTCAGCTGAGGAGTAGCTGCAGTAGTGCAGGACATTCCCAGATACCAGGGAGCACATGGCTGCTGTTGTAGCAACAGCAGATACAGCACTGTTCTTCCTGAGCCCACTCAGGCTGTTATTAGGTCTGCCTCACAAAATATTTGAAGATGAAAAAGCACTGTATTTTCTTCAGCTCTCAATCTAAGCATTTCTCCAATTTAGTTTGATTCACTTCAGTGTTGTCATCACTGTGACCACCTCTCCTCCTATTTTTTTCCCGTCTCTCCGCAGTATTATAGCTGTGCTGCCCTAAGCAACATAGCAGCCAACACTCAGCACCATGAGGCCATGCTGAGAATTGGTGACAGATTCCTGCTGCGCATGCTCATCTCTCTTCTGTCTTCCTCTGTGGACAAGGTAAAGCTGCAACCCTCTCTTTACATGAAGGTTTAGCATCAGAGTACAGCTATAAAGCTGGGCTTTCAGTTTCAGTCTGGTACACTTCTGCTTATCTACTGCACAGTTGGCTCTATGACATCTTTCCCACAAGGAAAGACACACATTAAAACATAGTAGGTTCTGTGAGTGCAACGTTTGGAGAAAGAAAAGGGAATCATTAAAGCCCTGGACACTACCTTTAGGCGAGGTGCCCTATTTTCTTTAAACTTGAAACTGCACATGAAGTGCTCTGCCCAGGCTCTCACACTTATGCTACTTCTCCCTTTTTTTCCCTTCTTTGTGATATCCTTAGCTTTGACTACATGGCTCCAAAGAATAACATCTAGAAAATCTTGCTTTGCTGGGAGCCACTCTCTTAAAAAACTTCAGCAAGGCTCAATTCAGAATTTAAAGGATAAAGCCTTGAATTCTGTGTTGGCTCTCCTAGTTGAAAAAGAAAATAAATGAGACAAATTCAGTCTGTACATTTTCCTATAATTGATTTGACATTCCAAAAATAATCCAAAAACTGAACTCCATTGGCTCTTCCTCATCAACAGCTTATCTAGGGGAAGTTCAAACAAACTCATTAAAAAAAAAAGGTTAAAAAAAAAAAGGCCCAAAATTTGTGCTCTGAAGATAGTGTGATAGCTTGCCAGCATTGTCACATTTATTTTGAGTACAGTAGCCAAGAACACACTTTACTGAAACCACTCTTTTTCTCTCTTTTTCTTTTTCCCTTTGGCACAAGAAGGTTTCAAGCCAGGCATGCGTTTGCCTAAGAAATTTGGCTACCAGGGGTAAGTACCATGTTAGAGATAAACGAACCACACTATTTCTTTTCCTTTCTCTCTCTGGCTTTTGTAATGAGCATGGTGGGTTGGCAACTTTTCCCATTAAAAACAGAGACATCTTCATTTTTGCATGTTAGTTGGATGCTGCAGGAAGAGAGAGGTTCTGCGTGCACTCAACTAAACCTGCCCAAGGCAACAAGAGGTAGTACCCAAAGGGAGGGAGCCAGCACATATCTTGTATGCACGGGCCTTTTGCTCCCCTCCACATTTCCCAGTCCTTATAACCCTGATTAGGATAAAACATCTCCTGAAATTGATGCTTGAGTGGGGCCTGCCCTCTCCTAAGGCATGAATCTCTCATTAACCGTAATTCGCTCCCAAGCATTTGTCATCCTCTTAAAAAAAAATCCTATCCTGTTAAGTACCCCAATCCATTTCTACAACATGCTCTGGAGATGAAAGCAGAGGAGCTGCATGTTCAGCACTAGAGTCCTAGGGCCCAGAGTAAGCTGTTCATCTAGAAATTGTGGAGGCACCTTGCTATCAAGCAATCGCAGTGATGGTGCGGCAGGGAGTAAAGGCCCTGCTCTTTGCTCCTTGGTGTCTCTGGTCTTCGAGACTTTGAGATTGCTATGTTGTAGAAGGACAGTGACTGAGACAGGCGTGTGTTCAAGGAGGTCTGTCTGCCCTTTTACAGAGTTTCAGGCCAATGAATTGCTCAGAAAATGCCCCTCATTTTTTCTCACAGAGGTTTAGACATAAAATGAAGGGTGTCCAAAGCTACATACTGTTCTCAAACCTGTATTAATTCTTGGCCTAATAAGCCAGACCAAATGAGGTTTAATTTTTATAACAAAACACCGAGCACTGTCTTCTACCACCTATTCCCTCTAATGTCCTCACACTTCATCATCACCTTCTCCACACAGCAGACACACAGGCAGAGCTGGTTGCCAAGGATGTCCTGCCCAGGCTGTGCTCTCTCCTGGTGTCCAGCAGTGAGGATGCGTGTCGTGCAGCTGTCGCTCTGCTCTGGGTGCTGTCCCAGCACCCACATAACCAGGTATGGCAGCTTGTCCCCTGAGAGCCAGAGGGAAAGAACAGTTCTGGCCACTGCCTGCATTAACACTGTTACAGCATTCTGTGAGATGTGCTAGGACGCTCTGTGAGATCTCCCAACCTTTCCCGTTTCTGCCCCAAATGATGAGGTTTTGCTAATCCAGCTGCACTGTCTCTTCCCAAGGAGACTATCTGTTGTGGTGAGTGGCAAGCTGGGAATCCCATAGTTCATTGGATCACCTGTGAAGAGGCCCTGGGGAGGGAAAAGGTAGAGATGGGTGTCAGATTGCTTGGCTGGGTGGACACCACCCTGCACTCCCTGTGTTCCCCTCGTTCTCCAGATTGTCAGCAGACATTCTTTTTCTTTTTTTTTTTAATTAGACTTGAGATAATTTAAAAGTCCATCAATGTTTAGCTAATTCAATAGAACTTTCCTGTGACTCTTTGTGTCCTCAGGTACAGAATGGTTTCTTTGCCCATGTTCAAAGCAAACGCTACCATTCAGCAGTGTAATGCCATGCAAACACATGAAGAACTCTGGCTAAAAATAAACTGCAGCAAACAACCAACACAAGCACGCCTGCTGTACTTTCATCCTCCACATGAAGCACCAAATTGCTAAGTAGTGGCAGACATTATTATTACCATTTTTAAACATGCTTTTCCATTCGAGTGATAAAGTCATCCTTAGGAACACAGATATGAAATGTTTTTGTTAGGTGGCTTAAGCTAACAATAATCTCATGGGGGAGAGCTGGAGTTCGGGCAGATAAAGGAAAAAAAAGAAAGCAAGGACCTTTCTTGTCACACTACTGTAAGCAGCAGTGACAGCCTCAGTGACAACAGCTGGGCCCAGGTGGGGCTGAGACTTGGAATTTCCTCAGGGCACTGGAGACCTGGTGCCTCACATCCTGTCGCATGTACATGGCACAGTATGAAATGAATTGTGCCTCCTCTAACTCAGGGACATGATGGAAAAATTGGGAAAGCTTCATGCCCATGGAGCCACAATCAGAGAACCGAGTTTTCCAAAGGTTTTGTGCAGGCCACATTAGCACCACGTGTCCTTGTGGCATGTTGAACTGTCTGCTGCAACTGAATGCAATTTGATCTTAGCAAGCCTACTGCTGAAATATTGCTGGGGGTGATTGCACAGCAAAAATCCAATCACATCTATCGTTTTTTTGCAGTGAGCAAGCAGGGCTGTCCCCAGGGAGCGAGGGATCCACGTGCTCTGAGGAGGGGCTGACCTCACTCTCCCCAGGTCTCCCCATCTCTGTGGCCTGGATTTTCAAGGCCTTTAAAGGTTTCTTTCACTCACCCAGGCTGAATTCTGAGCGTCTGAAAGAGGGACTTCTCCATGGGAACAGCTGTTAGGAAACAAACCACCACACAAAGCTAACCTTTACCACCGAGTCAAGTGATGCTTGAATTACAGCTAATGCTGCCAAGGATACAATAGGGCAGGATTCATCTGCCCTTTCATTACCATGAATTAAACCCTCAGGAATGCTTCATACTAGCTCCCGTCCCTTCCTTCTGGTCACTGTCCTGGCTGCTGACAGTGGTTCCCGGGGAGCACTGAACAACTTCTCTCTTACAGGGGAATTTTATTCAGTTCTCCAAAGGACAACCCAGCCCTAAAATTCTAAGGAAAGAGTCAGTGTCTGTGGGAAGTGGTCTTTAAAGTCACATTCCTTTGACAAGGATGTGTCAGCTCCAGGTGATGCTGCTGACTTTCCATTCCAGGCACAAAGAGCTTTGCTTTTCCATCGAGCTGCCTGATGAACACGATAATATTCATCTTGACAAGCACTGTCTACCCAAGGATTTTGAGCACAGCATTGCAATTCTTAGCACAGTTCCTGCTGGAATGCTTTTCCTTACTCTTTTATTTTGAACCTGAGGAGAAGTTTGGTCAGTACTCACTTGAACCACCAAACCACTTGTACTCAGAGTTCTCTCCTGAGCCTCTCATACTGCGCAGGACCAAGCCAACTAAGTCTGGATCCCAGCTGCATGCCTGCCAAGGAGGCTCAGCAGAATTCAGAGTACTGTCACTTGCTGGCATAAGTCTAAATAGATGGAAGAGGCTTGGCAGGAAAGTCATTACATATTGGAAAGTTCATTTAGAGTCTATAGACAATTTCCTCCTCTCGTGCTGTAGCAAATTAAATAAGGATACTACAGTCAATAGGATAACATAGAAAAGAGGACATACAGTCAAAAAGCACAGAAAACATTAACAGTAACTGAAATGGATGATCTAAAATTATGTGATTTCTGCTTTTAAGGACAAGTAAAAACAGAGAAAGTTTACAGCAACACCTACATACAGGATTCTTTAATGCTCTGAATTTTGCCTTTTCCATCTACTTCCATGTCTTATCTTAATACTGCTGGTTATGACAGTGCTTAAAATAAACAGAAGTGAAGCTGTCAGGTGACATGAAGAAAAAAATAAATATATCACAGAATCATAGGGATTGGAAGGGACCTCTGAGATCACATAACCTGCTAAAGCAGGTTCCCTACAGTAGGTTACACAGGTGGGTGTCCAGGTGGGTTTTGAATATCTCCAGAGATGGAAACTCTGCAACAGGAGAGCCTGTTCCAGTCACCCTCTGTCACCTTTGCAGTGAAGTTCTTCATCATGTTAATATGGAACTTCGTGCTCCAGTTTGTGCCCACTGCCCTTCATTCTGTCACTGCACTCTACTGAAAAGAGTCTGGCCTCATTCACTTGACTTCTGCCCATTAGATATTTATGAGCATCGACAAGATTCCCCCAAAGTCTTCTCCAGGCTGAGCAGTCCCAGGTCTCTCAGCCTTTCCTCATAAGGGAGTTACACCAGGCCTCTAATAGACATATTTTGTCATTTAACCCAAGCGAAAGAAAGATGCATGTTAAACTTTTAAAAACTTCCTTTTGTGCTTCTTCAGTGGTCCTGAAGCAGATTTTCAAGTTCAGAATTATCCTTTTTTTTTTTTTTTTTTTTTTCTCCAATTATACATAGGACCAGTTATTTGTTTTACACCAAACATACAAAAGTGTCTCAATTTCTAAGTAACAGAAATAAAATAGTCTGCTACACAAGAATCACATAAAGAACAGATAAAGGAAAAGGTTCCCCAAGAGGAAATCTTACATTGCTTTCAACTGTAGACCTAACCCAAATACTGCTGAGCAACCTACCTGGCTGGTGCTGCAAACCCATTTGATATGGGAGAAAAACTACTTTCAAGGGGAAAACTTAAAATTCCTCTAAAATGTCCATCAGAGAATAGAGAAACGTGTACTGTCACAGAAGATGCTGTGTCAGAGCACTTTACTGATCACAAGTTGGCCTAAATGTACAGTCCATTACTGTTGGCTAAGCTGCTGGGATACTTAAAGACACAGTGCTGCTGCTGTTGCATCTCCATAATTTTCCCTTGCCAGACAGTAGGTCATATTTTGAGAGAAAAGGCACTGGTCACAACCACTTAGCTGTTGGCTTAAATGAACCGAGTAATGCTTTTCTTGCAGAGCTAAGTCCAACCTACTTACTGTTTGCTGCTAAGTTTCATCGCTGCGCTTGGCATTGTCTGTGTGGGATGTAATGGAAATGCTGGTTGCTTTTCTCAGGATGCTCTGGTGTGCACTGAGCTACTGCAGAGCCTGGGGATGCTCCTGTCAGTGCACACAACAGACCCTGTGATTGCTGGCCACGCTGCTTGCATCATCAAAAACCTGAACCTTTCCAAGAACAGACAGGTGAGTACCATTTAGGTTTTTTTTTACTGAATTGTACCCGAAGAGGTTGCAGTTACACTTAGAAAGAATCAGCATTACCCACAGAAAGATTTTCTCGTTATTATAAAATATACACTAAGTATAATTTGCACGAAAATGTGTTTATGAATAAAAGGACCTCATGTGTCATAACAAAAGTTATCTTTCCATATTTTTTCAACACAATACAAACATGCTAAAGAAAACAAGAAATGTCTGATTTTCCTGTGAGTGATATGCTTACTTAATTTGAGTGACCACATCGTAGGGACAAAACATATTTTGAACAAAGATCATTCAAACTAATTTAAGGAACCATCCAGGAGAACCCCTGGTTGGTTAGAAACTGAATCCTGATTTTCTAGCTGTCACTCTTCATATACCTTTAGTTACCTGTTTACAGGTATTCAGAACTGATCTAATTTCACTCACTCCCAGTACATGTTGTGCCAAGATGCTATCAAGGCTTCCATTGCTGAATTTGCTTCTAGTGAAATCCATACCTACAGATGCACTTCCCTGCTCATTTTCCAATTACAGCTAGTTGCAGAGACTGCTTTGCTTAAATGTCTCCAGTGTCTGAAACAAAATCTTTTCTACATGTGATTTACCTGATTTCAGGTTTAGGGACATTTTGTCCTTTCTTTTTTCGTACTGATAATTCTCATTCTTGCAGTTCTTGTCTTCTGCTGAGTTTTGTCCAGATTTGGTTAGGCTGAAGTACCAAACCATAGTACAAAATAAAGTTGTCCCTACTGCAAAGACTGTTCTAGCAATCCTTCGCCTGCTTTCCCATGATATAACAGAGCACTCAGTGCAACAGGAAGAGATTTAAACCATCCAAGAGGAAAACTTTGCTATAAAACTATGAACCTAACTAATAATGAGCAATGGGACAAACCTTTCAGCACGTCTTAAGCAGGGATTGGAAATGTCAGTTTCCAATAAAGCTTTTCACTTACATTAGCAAAGATAGGAATTAAAATAGTTCTTATAGTTGTGAAATCAATTTTTGCAAGGAAATGCATTTCTTCAAACTCAAGGCCCACAATAAGAGTGAAAATGGACCATGCTTTCAAAAGCTGCTTTAAAAAACTACCACATTTATCAGTTAGGTTCGGTGACTTTATTCTGTCCTTGGCAGGGAGCTGGTTCATCTTCATGAAAGCACTGCAGGATGCCACGTAACGTATTTAGCACTCACTTCAGAAGTGAACTCACAGAAATGAATAGGAGCGCCAGGCTTCCAAGGTCAATTCTAAGACACATAAGAGTCCTTGTCACAAGAGGGGAAAAAAGCAGTGGTTTTGTGTCAGCAGGACACAGGCTGTAGCAGCTTTAAAGGCAGCAGTCTTGAAGCCAGCTTCGGCCGCTAAGCAGCAAGTTAAAAATTTGCAATATAAAATTAGAATACAAAAGAAGATATTCTTTTTGTTGATGGCCATCTGAGCTCCCTCATGGAGTCATAAGCAGGTCGTATCTTTAGGATTTTCCTATGAGCTGGAGATGCAACTTCCCTAATTAAGTCTGATGACTTGTTCAGAATTCATTCCTTGGTCTCAAGGGCTTTTTGTCCAGGTTTGCACAGGCTCACCCTCCTCTGTTTTCAACTTGCTATCTAAAACATAAACTCCAGTGCAGAGATACCCATGACGTTTGGGGCGTAGCAGATGCAAACTAAAAAATAAGGGATAAACAGAAACGTATAATATGTAACAACTCTGCAGAAACAAAACTCACCTTTGCTTGTCACATTCCCTCATATTTCCACAGATCAGAGCATTTCAACACCAGAAAGCTTTCAAAGCCTCAGATGCAAAGAAAATGATAAACTTCCACATGCTTAGCTCTGGAGCACTCATTAATTTGCTGCAAGTCTTTAGCAAATGATAGCCTGATTGTAATATACAGCCTGACACACTGGTAATAGGTCAAAGAAATCCTTAAGCTCCAAAGTGATCTGTGATCATGAAAACATTCCATAGAGCAAGCCCTGGGAAACACTTAAAATCAGGTGATCTCTGGCTGCGGTCCCTGGGTGCGCTCTGCCCACAGCAGAGGAGGCTGAGGGGAGGCCTCATAATGGCTGCAGCTCTTCACAGAGCAGAGGGACAGCACTGATCTCTGCTCTCTGTGATAGCGACAGGGCTCGAGGGAACAGCATGGAGCTGTGTCAGGGGAGGGCTGGAGTGGATGTTAGGGAAAGGTTCTTCACCAGAAGGCGCTGGGAATGGAACAGGCTGCCCAGGGCATTGGGCGCAGCCCCAAACTGCTGGAGTTCAAGGGTGATTAGATATATGGTTTAGATTTTGAATGGTGCTGTGTGGAGCCAGGAACGAGACTCAATGATCCTTGTGGGTTCCCCCCAGGATATTCTGTAAATCTATGGTTTGTCACTTGGCTGTATTAGAGCTGGGAGAAGAGACATTGGCATTACCATTGTCTTATTCCTCAGTATTGCAAAGAGATACTAAGTATTTCTAAAGCACTTGGACACCATCAAAATACGATGGAAGTGCTGAATGTTTATCTTTTTCTCATTGCAGAGAATCATTGAGAGCCCATGTGTTGAAGGTCTCCTCCAGACCATGCTTTCTATTGACATTGAAGAAAACTCTCTTCATTATGTGACGTCTTGCCTTGCTGAGCTGGCAAAGCAAGGTAGGGAAATAGCTTCACCAGAAATGGCTTCTTCTGAGAAGGGCACACATCCTTTATTAATTCTAATGGGAGTTGAAACCGAGATCTTTCTTATAAATTTACTGGGAGTTTTACCATCATATGCAAGGAGAGAAAGATCCAACTTACCCGTTGGTGACACTGGCTCCATTATTTGCATTTTTTTTCTGTTGAACTGCTTAATTATTATTTTGCTTAAAACTTTTTGTGCCAAACTTCACTGCCATACATACATATTGTTATCTGTAACGTCACCCAATTTCTCAGCTGAATTCATTTCACAATGCCAGAAGCTAATCTAAAAGGATAAAGAGACTAAAATACCAAGTGTGTTTATCTCCTTGAATTTATTGCACATGGATTTTATAAGAGATCTCAAATTACCATCCCTCAACAAACAGCTGTCCTCATGACACAGAGGATAAGTATAAACTTCCCCATCTCACTCTGGGACTGGATATCATCTGTCAAACATTTCCTCTCTTGTAACTGCCATGCAACTGATGACATGCCTCATTTAGTTCCACAAGAGGTGCTCAGCAGCTGCAGGACAGAAACAACTAGGCCAGAGTGGATCTTGAGTTTAAAAGGATGCATCCTTTCAGAACACAAACCCAATGATATAAAAATCCAACAGGCTTTCTATGAATTGAATCCATATACCCTACTGAGAGCATAACTTCAAGACATGGCCGTATTTTACGACTTGGAAATACTTATTTGCAAAAGTTCAGCACTTATTTTGTTTCTTCAATTCTCTAAAAGATTTCCTACTTAGACATATGGGTTCTGGCAGATTAGTCACACTTTTTTAGGGCACTGGATTTTCTATTTTCAGACTACTCTCCCACCTTTTTGCCTTCTAGAAGGAGGCACATTATGCATGGTCAAATGGATGAATGAACCCTTGACAAAGCGCTTGGTAAGACTGGCTGGCCAACGGGAACATACCGAGACATCCTTTCAAGCTGCCTCCATCATCCAGCACATGATAGATCACGGTAACTGTCACACAGCATTAACTGTGCTTTCAAAGGCACTTATGGTTGTCTGAAGTGAAATGAGTCTTTTTCCGAAAGAGTTAATTGACAGGTGCTGAACAACCTTTAACATTCCTCCATCATCCTCCATCTGGTTTCAGCCAATTCATTAGCACAAAAGAGCCTCCAGTCACCCTTGAAATACACACTTAGCCATGAAAATAGACCTTAGCCAAAGAGGGTCTGGGTGAGGTGTTTGCTGCCCTCTTTAAGCACTTCTATTCTGCAGAGCTAGTTTCTAAGCCAATTCTGAGGTCCTTAAAGAGAGGTTTAAGTAGAAAGGTGGGATGGTGTAAAATACTCCTTACTAAAGAAACACATTGCAGACAAGAGGCATTGCTGCATCTTTGTTTGATTCTCTCTGCCAGCACATATACAATATGATGGCATCCCCTCATATTGGAACAGAGGCTGGAAGGGGAAATTGCAAGGGCATGGATAGTTGTTGTAATGCTATAATAAATAGGATGATGACAGCAGGGTGGCTATAGCAAATAAGAAGAAACTCAAATACAGCAGCCACAGATGTAGGAATTGTAGACATGTACTATTTCTCTCAGAAAGTGGTCAGGCACTGGAATGGCTGCCCAGGGAGGAGGTGGAGTCGCCATCCCTGGCAGTGTTCAAGAGGCGTCTGGATGACGTGCTGTGTGATATGGTTTAGTGCTTGTGGTGGCAATGCTGATGAGGAGACGGTTGGACTAGATGATCTTATAGGTTGTTTCCAACCTTGTGATTCTATGATTCTATGATTCTATGAAATGAAGGAAAAGAGCTGCTTACCTTCGGAAAGCGTCAGGTAGGCAGGGATCTCCAACAAGAGATGCTCTCACCTCCACTGCCAACCCTTCAACGAGGTCTGGGAAGGGGTAGATCCTGGCTTCACCCCTTCTGGTCACTCAGGTGCATTGCATTCACCTGAACTTACCTGGGTTGGCCCTGCCTTCCCACCAGGTGCTCAATTACTGCTTCAGGTCATGACTTAGCATTTCCACTACAGTTGTATTCCAAACTTTTAGATCAATTCCTCTGCCCAACCAGCAAGAGGAAGATGAAACAGGATCATCAGGAAGGTGAACCAAACACTGCTGTTTTAATTCTTGAATAGATTAGCAGGAACAATAAAGTGTCTTTTTAGAAGGTAGCCTATGTTTTAAATTTCAGTTACAGATAATGAAGAGAGCATAATTTTAATGAGCAGAAGACAAGTACTTTTATGACCACTTGCTCTGTGCAGCTGAGCATTTCTTAGATCTGCAAGAAAAGATGTTCAGAGCAAAGCAGTGATGGAGTCCAGCAGCAGCATGCTACATTGGTCAGTGTGAGAAGCTGATCAGCATATGTGTCAGCACGTGTAGCAAACAAGGACAGGCTCCCTGGCAGAGCTGCCCCCTCTGCAGAAATCCCCCACATCAATTCCATGCAGAACCAGTGCTACCATTAATGGCTGCAGGTGGAAGCCCTTTGCCATTCTCTGCAGTGACACAGGTTGTAACTGAAGGCAGATCTGTCATTAACAATCTGAAGCGTTGTTACATTAGACAGCTATGGAAGTATTTTAAAAGCTCCTGCTGATCTCCAGTTATTCTTCTATTTATGCAGAAAAGATGATGCTTTTGTTGAAGTGTCACATCATTGAGATTCAGGCCTACCTCAGGAACTTTCTTACCCACCAAGAGGTTCGCTTCCAGCAGCTGGCCATTTCCACATTCTGCAGACTGCAGGCAGGTACGTCTTCATCGCCAGGCCAAACCTCTGGGGCACTGCCTGCTCCCATCAGCAGCAAAGGCAAATCTTTGTCACAGGCTGTCACCTACACCCCTGAACTGACAGCTCTGCTCGCCTAAGCAAGCAGAAGAAGCCCAAGGACAGCTGCTACCTTAACTATTTTATCTGTTTTAAAACAATAAAGAATATCTTAGAATAAATGCAGATACACTTTATTTATTTTGAACTTTTAGATGAGCGGGAAACAGGATGTGGGCTATAGATGTTTTTTTCCAATATGAGGATCCATGGTACTCATCCTAAAAGCTTTTCAAATTTAAAATCTTAATTTATTTTGATTAAGCAAGCACAAGCAGATCACATGGATGGCAAAAGCTGGAAAGCTGCGTATTTTCCATACTAAAATTCTGCTCCTTAATATATTTCTATCTTTGGTTCTGTTGCTTTCAAATCATTTTTTAAGTACAAGTTGAGTACAGATGAGAAATGCAATATGATAATAAATTATAATGATAATAAATATACAGTGTGTATCTCTACAAATACAGAGCCAGAGCTCTGATACATCTTTGTGTATATCTGCTGTACAGAATCAGTACAGAAGAGTGAATTTGCCAACTGAAACAGCTTTCGCCATTCTGGATCTGAAGTTTAGCAGCAAACATTCTTGAATGGCTGTAGGGATGAAAACTGAGTTAGTGTCCATCTGCTTGGTGTGGCAGAAAGATATTGTTCCCCTTTCTGTATACTTATTTTATACTATAGTAAGAAAGTTACATTGTCTATCCTAAAATAGAAGTATTCTAAGCACATGCATTAAAATGCAGGGGAAAACATCTGAAGAGGGCAGTTGCTGCAGCTTGCCTAACACTCGTTTTTTGTCTTCAGATCCAGAATTCTCATTAGCATTCAGGAAAAACCAAATGGCCAAACTCCTCGAGCAAGTCCGTCAACAGACAGAAGAAACTCAAGAGCTCCTTAGGGCAGCTATTTGCCATGCAGATAGTTAAAATTTAAACCAGATAGCTTAAAAAACTTACCAGATCCAAGAGCCTGATCTTTTAGAGATGACTGTCTTCATTGGTTCCTGTAGCTTAACTGCTCCTGTTTCTTGCAATTTCCTGGTATGAACATGGTGCACAGCACCTTTATAAAGCAGAGATGTTCCAATAACAAGAATGGGACCAGATCAAAAAGCAAACACAATATAACAGCTCCCATGAAAGACTTGTGAAATGTGTATATGAAGACAGAAATCTGTTTTCTGCAAATGGCACATTATTACACATACTATACACATAGGTCCTTGCAAAAGGGAAAGTGAACAAATTCGACAAAATTACACATTAATGTTATACTCTGTTAATTCATTTTGAAAGAAGTTAGAGGACCAATACATGTAGTAGTATGCTTAGCTCTAAATTCATCTGTCTTGAATTCGTGATGTGTATACAGGTTCAGACTGCTCATGCCTCCCCTATTCTCCAGGGGGCAGTGAATCTGTCTCATGGATCTTCTTGCCAATCAAAACAGTATTTTTCAGAAGAAAAAAACAAACAAACAAAAAAAAACAAAACAAAACAAAAAACATACCAAAGTCCAGAGTCTTGAACTTGTGGAGCACTGCTTTTTGGTTTTTTTTTAAATATATTTTTTAATGTTTTAATTTCTAGGAGAAAGCTAACCTATTAATAGTTGTCTACTACTACTAATAATTCAGTAGTAATCTATTTCCTTCTTCAAAACATACAATACACTTCTTTTTTCAAATTCAGGAAGCCGGTTGAAGCTTCTTGTTAGACTGGCTGGAATACTGTAGTTTTACAACAATAGAATTGGCAAATCTCTGCTCCCAGATTGCACAGTTTCTTTTAAAAGAAACTGTCTTTTAAAAAAAAAAAAAAAAAAAAAAGTACAGCTTTAGAGTTGCTACTGGCTACAAACATGGAATACAAATTGAGTGAGATGTTGGAAAACATCTGCCAACTAAGATCTCACTATAACATTTTACTTTGGCCCAAATCTTTACGCTGAGCTTAGGAGCATGGGGAGACATTTTATTTGGGTAAAGTTTCATTTCAGCAATTGCAAATTCTCTCCAATTATAAGGTCTAAAAACATACAAACAAACCCAGCCCCAAACAGGTACAAGTTTCTCTACAGCACAGCAAAAAGACTAGTTAAAGAACAGATAGCTGTTAGATAAAGCAGTATGGAATTTTCAATACTCATGTGTAGCAGACAGGAAATTTCTTTAGAAACATCACATGAAAGACCCATGCACCTAATGATGCATGTTGGTGCAGTTGGGTTCTTAGAACAGAGGACCAAAAGGAGCTGACTGATGCAGATAGGGATGAAAGCAGGAGATCTCCAACTTTAGGCCACCTCCTTGGATGATTTTAGATCATTTTCTAAACAGAAAACCAGTGCAACTTTTTATGACCACTGTGGTATAAGTGAAGACTTTGGAGTGTCTTCTCTCTGTTTTTCTTAGCTATTTAATTGCAAACTTTACTTCAATATCTTTGCAAGAAGCATAGTTGTTGTGAAAGGTCACTCACTACTCCATACCTTCAGAAAAACTCTAATTTCTACAACTACTGATTCTACCTCTCAGAACTGTTGATTCCAAACATACAAATAACGAAACAGATGCAACAGCAGGCAAAAAAGCTGGCATTCATTTTATACTGCACTTATTACTGATAACAATATTCAAATCTTCCAGCATTTAAAGAAGGGGGTTAAACCCAAGATTTAATTTTTTTTTATTTTTATTTTTTTTCATATTTTTGGGCTTTCACACCTACATCTATACCCATTCTGTGGACTTCAGTTTGCAGCTGGGTCCTTGAAAGAGAACATTTGTTTTCCCCTTTTATTTGAAGCAAACCTGGAATGAATATAATTATACATTGTTTTATTTGCGGTCCAGTGCAAAAACCACATAAAAAATGAAGCAAGCTCTTCATCTTTGTGCTTTAAACAGCAAAGTGAGTGTTCTGATGTCTCATAAAAATAGTCGAGATCAATACAGCTTATGCCTGAGCCTAAATGAATCCTTGGACCAAAAAAAAAATGAAGGTAAATCTTACTGGCAACATCTTTGTTGTGTTCATAGCTGTAAGTAATCCTGTACTGATTTTTCAATAAAGAGATCAGAGGAAAACTAAAAACTAAAGAGGTTTTACGCATACCAGGAACATGAAGAAGAGTTTTCCACCACAGACTGACTCCCGCTTCAAGTATGCAAGAAAATCAAAGTAGAAATAGAAATATTTCAAACAAGTTTTATTTGGTACTCACATGCTATAAAGGTTTAAAGGAAAACTACATATTTTGGACACTTTAAAATATTGTGGCTATGTACATGGAAAATTAAAGAAAGTGAGTATGGAATCCAATTAATTTTACTGTGTCACGAACTATTATTGAAAGCATTCTGACTGAATAGACTGAATAGCTTCCACGCATTCTGGCAGATAAGTCTCTTTTTCTTTGCTTTTCCATTGCTTTTATCCCATCTCCTGTGTAGGATGAACGCTTGGCAGCAGCAGAAAGTCATTTCTTCAAGAACTCTTCCGCTTTTGTCTCAGAAGATTTCTTCTGCAAGCACAGACTTTCTGTACAGCTTCCTATAACCTAGCTCAGTGCTCACTAAAGGCAGGTGCAGGAATCTGAGTGGCCATTCTCTGTCAGCACGAACCGAAACCCCGTAAACCCCATTTCCACTGCTATGGATCTACTCAGGGACTTCAACAAACAACGCATGAAGCCCCGGTTGCTGTTTCCAACTCAAATACCCCGTGAGTTCTGCCTGCAACAGCACGGTTTATCACAGCATAGAAAGGCGCACAATGTTACTGCTCTGCTCAACAACAACTGAAAGTGAGGGATGGCATAATGATGGTAGAAATCAGCATGAAACTAAAGAGAAAGCAACCTGCATTGCTCCTCTTATCACTCAAACTGTAGTGCATTATAAAAATCACACGCTACATACAAAGCACAAACAATGACCATTTTCCATTTGCTCTGAAACGAGCAAAACCAAAAAATTCCCCAAACCTGCTTTATCATCAAAAAAATCAACTATTTCAGGTTTCACACAGTCTTCAATCGTCTGATAAGGCAAAGGAAAAGTCTTCCATCATTGGGAACAGCAGCAATTTACAGGACTCAGAACAAGGTTACTCCCTGTGCACATCTTTTATAGTACTGTGAACGTGAATGTAACAAAAAATAATCAAGTTTGCGGTACCATTTTATTACATTTTTCTAATTTATTCAATTAAACAATTTATTTCTGTACTGAACAAAATTCATAAATACATCATCTAGGAGAACAATAGGTTTTCCTCTTGTCCATGAAAAAATAATGCTTTCAAATTTTCACATTTTAAAACCTGCCTCGTTTTGTGTTTTTAGAGAAAATGTGAGAAGATCATAGTGACATCTCAATTTACAGAACGTCCCTGTAGGAATTACATTTACAAGAACCTGATACAGAAGCCGATGCTCTGCCCCCATAATTAGAGTTCTCTGCAATAATATTTAAACCAACAGGTTTAAATAAAACACCTCATTAACTCTACTCGTAGAGCAATGAGGTATTTAATTTTCAAGTATCAGAACCACAAAGTGTAAAAGATTCTTTGCCAATTTTACAATTATGCCTTTTAAACCAACACCCACCTGAAAAAAGAAGAAAAAAAAAAAAGAGAAAGCCCCACTACCCGAATCAGCCCATTGCTTTCAGATTCCAGTGTCTTGTGTTCTCAGGAATGCAGAAATATCCATTTACTAACAGAAAAAGCTCATTGGAAAAAGCCATATTAAGTAATGCATGTGAAGCATGATTTTTCTAGTGATGAAAACTATTAGAAAGGCGATCCAAGTCTATGTCCATCATTTCTTCTGCTGGTTTTACTAAAGTCCTTCCAAAAAGAAAAAAGATGTTCAAGAAATCTTTAAAAAACCTGGAGAGAAAAATAAAACACTCCTTCACTGCATGGAAGAAACTCCCACTGACTGCAGAGACGTTTTTGTCACCTTTGGTTCTTCAGAAGAAATAATCAGATCACTTCTACAACAGAAGGCATCGGAAATGACAGGTCAGCAGAGTAGGAATGCTTAATTCAGAAAGCACTTAAGCAAATATTTTATTGAAAGATGATTTTTTCTTATATTTTAGGCAAGAGAAGGTAAATTAGGGTTGCCCAATTTAATTTCTTATGCTAATAACTGTTTACCCAACATCTTTTAAAAGCTACAATGCAATTCAGAAAAAATCTGCTGTGCTGCAAACCACCACTCAGTATTCATGGCAGCAAGAACTTGATGAGGGAAGTCATTCAGAATTTGACATAAAAGGCAGCTACCAGCTCCCTTTCAGTGCATGCATTTCAGATGTTACATTTGCAAAGCTGGAACATGATTGCAGATCATAAACTAAGAACAACAGCTGTCACTGTTATCATTTCCACTTGAAAGCACAGGGCAAATGTTTTCAAGCAACTCCTAAAGGCAAATAGCACAGTGTAACTGAGAACACCTCTCAAATAAAAGATGAGGACTCATCATAATTCACACAGCATCTGCATGCTTGGTATACATAGCTTTACAAACAGAAGATTTCCTCCTCTCCACAAAGAATTTTGGGTTTAAAATGCTTGAATTATTCAACCTGTGTCAAGGAGAAGCTCTAGATCCACATCACCAACTGTAGTGAACTAAGGCAAACTTACCTGCTGTTTGATGTGTTTGAACACTGTCTACCTGAGGCAAAAGAGTCCCCTTATCTTCAAAAGCTAAAATTGGATTCAGAGGAATTCCGGGACTGTCGCTTCCATCGTTGTTCAGGGCATCCAGGCGGGATGGTTTAGAACCAATAGGCAGATTTATGATCTCTTCGAAGTTATCGTTCTGCACAGACATTCCATTTTCCTCTGTATTTTTCTCTGGGTTGAGATTGCTGAGAGAGAAACATAAGCATCTCATCATACACTTAATTCAGAACACAAGAATAGTCCTGCTTAAAGCAATATTACAAATTGAAACTTGCATTAATCCACAGCATTCTTTTAGCCAGTGAAATGAAAATTTCATGACTACCACGGCAGATGAGCTGTTGTTACAGCAAGTAGTGGGATTTGTGGCCTTTCTTGGCTTTCATAAGCACTGCCATATTTGAGTGCTGAGGTACCCTTCCTCATACTGCAAATCAGTCTAACTGCTCTCAGACGAGGGCACTGTCATTTTTGTTACTCTGGATCACCACCTGCCTCCAGTTTTTGAGCAGCCTCTTCTACTTGCCACTCACCCAGAGAAAAAAACTCCTGTATCAATTCAGCTCTCCTTTTCATCCCTCTCCGCTGGGCCTTATTTTCCAGGCACAGCTTGACTCTTTCGTGCAATGACCAGCCCAGACCAAAAGCAGCACCTCTTGGCATCCCTCACATCTCCTCAACTCACAGGGAATGCTCTCCAGGTGCACCTACACTTCTGAGAAAACACATCACCTTGTGTCAGCCCTGACATCTCTCCCGACTCCTTTATTAGCTGCTGTCTTTTAAATCCTGCTGTCTTCTCATGCAGCGCGTGCTGTCTTACCACAGGGGAGGAACTAAGGTGCTACTGTGGTGAACAGGATGACAGTAATGGCATCCAAAGTTCTCTGAGAAAGAGGGATTGCCCAACTATCACTTCAAAGTCATGTAATCTTTCACAGGTGCTTCCTGAAAGTCCTTCACTGCCAGATCCTGGCAGTCTGGGGCACGTGTTCCCATATCACAGTTCTTCAGGTTGTTAGGAAATGCTTCAGCACAAATGCTCAAATGCATTTTCCTAGATTTGAACAAGGCTATCAATGTCCTCAGGCCATTTCTGAGCAGGTGGCTTGGTTTCACAGGCTTGTTTTCTCCTGAGAGTACAAGTACTAGTCTGAAAATAAAACAACAAAAAAACAAACAAGAACAACCCAACAAATTCTGCCTGCAATTGGCAGAAGCTTTCTTTACACTGACCAGCCTGCTAGGGTGGCCAGGTCTTTACAATTACAGAATTGTTTCACAGTACATCCCAAACAATGGAAAATAAATATTGCACTTAAAAAGATGGTAGGTAACATGTCATCTGAAGCCCAAATTTCCTGTAAGAACAGCATGCTGGTTTTCATATCAAATCTTTTCCAGCTTTTCAAACTATCACCAGTTCCCTTCCAGAAAGGCAAGGCAATCCCTTTTTCTTTCTTTTTTCTTTTTTTTTCCTTTCTCTCTTTTTTTTTTTTTTTTTTTTTTTTTTTTTTTTTTCCAGCCTGTGAGCATGCTAAGCAAACTTCAAAATGGAAAGTCACTGCACATGGCTTTGAAAGCAGACCCAGAGACCCTGCTTTCTGCCTGCGAGAGACCCCATGTCACATCACCCAGCCTTTTCTGCTGGAGATCCACTCAGTAACAATCTGTGAAATGCTTTAATACTAATAAAAACTGCTCCATCACATGTAGTTATTAGGCTATTATTTGCTATAAGGTGTCACGTTACTTATCTCATCCCCATCTTCTGCCAATAACCTTATCAGAGGTAGGATAACACAGTATTAAAAAATCTGATGGAGGGGGCGGGAAAGAGGGGGGAAGATGGGGTTTGCTCCTGCATTGAAATTAGGCAGTACATTTACCTGTGGAAGTATTGGCACAACGAAGAGAAGCCTTTTGTTTCTGCAAAGTTACATTTATTTTTCTGATTGACCCGCTAACTTGGTAAATAGTTCTCCATAATTATTGGTCACTGCTTTGTCAGTGTTACACATCAAGTCATACTGGGATTCAGAATTCAAAGTTCTCTTTCAAGATGTGCATCTGTACAGTCACAAAGGGGGGGACAGAGTGTGGGGGTGGAAGCCAGGGAAAAATCACTAGATATTTTCTGTTTTTTATGCTATAAGATATAGATGGCACTCCACTGAATCATTAAGGAGATGTTTAGTAGAAATAAAGGGAAAAACTGAACGGTGGAATTCATTTCCACTGGACATCTTAGGGGCCATAATCTCAAAAGCAGATTAGACAAATTCCTAGGAGATTGGTATGCCCTCCAGCTTCTGGTAATTAGCAGCTTTGGGACTACTTGAGCCTAGGGTTGCACTTGCACCACAACACATAGTAACCCTTCACTCACTAAAGGGCCTCCTGGTACTTAGCTTTTTTTTTTTTTCCTCCCCTCTTTACACTCTTTCCCTAAATGACCACCTTCATACCTCATTGAGGCAAAGAACACAAAAAAGGAATCAATTTTTGAACTACTTCACCTGTGTTTACCGTCTTATGTTCCACTTACAGTGATGTCTCAGTGCCCAGCACTGTATATATACCCTTTTCAGGCATACAACACTGCTGGGAATTTTGGCA